GGGGGGGGGGGGGGGGGGGGGGGGGGGGGGGGGAGGGGCGAGGGGAAAATAGCGAAGGCTTTCAAGCAGCAAAAAGAACTGATCTTTTTATGTAACGGGTTTGATAGAAGTCTTGCTGTTCGTTACAGATACATATAATCCCTTCTAGAGAGATTGTTGTTCTATATGGCTTCAAATTCTAGCTATTCATCGCATTAAATTATCACATATGTTCAGTAAAAAATTCTAATAATTGATTTTTTAAGTCTATTTAAGCAGTTATTCTCTGATTCATGAGTAATTTTTGCAAAGTAGTTGACGCAGGAATTATCGGGGATATTTAAGTTACCGCAAGTAGCTTTTGGTTGTATCGTTATAAACGTTTGCCAGATGAAAATCGCAAAACGAAAGTGGAGGATGAGAAAATGTCATCAGAAAGCAATAGGCTTTATCATTGGTGACATCCAGTGGATTACGCAGACGACCAACTTGGAAACGTTGCGAGATACAAGCTCTCTACTGCATATAACCATTTGATTTTTATTAAATTTATAACTGAACTTCTATTTTAATTTTTTAGATATTGCTCTATCTGTATTCATTATAGACTTATAAATTCTACTATTCTACAACGATAATTCTAAGAGAAAAATTATCTTAGTGAACTAGTAGGACTTTCACTTTAATTCTTCATAGATCAATAGTTAGTACAGATGCAACAATAAATTAAAATGACGGTTTAGTTACAAAACTAATGAACACCAAACCTCGTATTTTTCCGTTTTCTAGCTTACGTGCAGAAGACAGGTTTTTGCCCCGCAGCGTCTTCTGAATAAACTGTCTGGTAAGCTTATCAGTATTGCTAATTAGAAAGTCTATCACTATATAATAACTTTCTTCAAGTAGCCACTTTTGCTTTTAATCGTTTCCCAGTAACCGATTTGCATGATAGGCAGTCATTATATGATGAGTTTGAATTTGAATTCTTGAATTTTTCAAGCACATCATGTCATTTTTCATGTCTATAGCGGTTTTTTGGTTTTAGGACACTTTGGAACCTTTAAAAATTATAACACTCTAACCGGTACTTAAATTCGAGACTCTTTGATACAGTGGTAAATACGTCAAATTTGATAAGGTCTTGACTGTTCGGTGAATTAAAGATAGCGGCAATTTTCTGTCAGTCTTATTAATGCACAGCTATGTAACTTTTTTCTTACAATCTCAGCTTCTTCCAACTTCGGGTGAATTTTATGGCTCTCATCAGACGACTCCACCAGCATCTTCAGCGCTAGATAGTTGTTTTTTTTCAACCGTATTAATGTGCTAATATAAATAGATTATAATTTAAACATTTACTGAAAGTCAAACTTTGTTATTTAGTTTTAAAATTAAAAAAGTGTATTGTTAGTATATACCGGAAATAACCTGCTTAGTAAACTGCAGAAATTTTTGAAACAAAAAAATGTATGAGACTAGTGAAGGATAAACCAATAAATCCAGAATTAATAAAAATCGCACTGGAAAAAAAATTTCTGAAAACTGTCCTGTAATTACAAAAGTTCGTTCAAATGAAGTGGTCAAAGGGTACTGCAGTGATTTACAGGAAAGTGTTCCTTGTTATGTTCAACTTTCTTTGTTTTAATAGTTTGCCTTATAAAGATGCTGGATTTCAAAGACACATCTATGAACTGCTTAGATTTCATTAAATTTTCTCTCGAAAATTACTCTTAATTTACGCAATAATTCTCCCACTATATTGAGGACTGATGTTTGTCTCAATACCTGAAACTTTAATGTTTGCAAATGCGCTTCGTTACGTTGGCTCAAAAAAATTCTCGTTAATATTACTGATGATAGTGAGTATGGTCTTAGTTTAGATGGCGAGCGTTGTCCTAAATTCAATGATAATAAATCGCACACGATTGCCGAAAGTGTGAATTAGATCAATTAACAAACCGGTTAAAGTTCGTACCAATGATGAAAATGAATTGCTTATGCTTGTCAACCATTGAGGATGAGAAGCAACAGTGTTGTGTAAATAAAAGTTTTTCCTCACCAAAAAATTTTTCTAGCAAAAAATCTCTATTTCTTGCCTATCTAATCTGGTCAAAAATTTTCCGTTTTCTTTAAGTGATCTAATAGAACCGCCATAAGTGAGTGAAAACTGCCAAAAATTGTGATCTTCCTAGTTTTCCTAGTGAAAATTTGGAGTCTCGTTGGTGTTTTAGAAGATGGCAGTATACATCATTATGACTGTAAAAATACGAACGGCCTACGTGCTCAAATCAACATCTTCATTTTTACTGGGCTGTAAACTTGCTTGCTGATAATAAACTTAATACAGAAAATGTTTGATACTGCATTTGAGAAACTTTGTTATTCCAGTTCCCAACCATTAAACCCGCATTGTTTTGTGTGCTGTTTTCTATGAATAAAACCGAAAGCTTTAATCGTTTGTTGTTTCTTAGATTGGCGCGTCAACAGAATATGGTATATAATACCTAACTTTAATAATACGTATTTGCTGTAGCTGCAGAAGACTGAATCGTTTTCTGGAATGAACTGGCAGAAAAAAAAAAAAAAATAAATAAATAAGAAATTTATCTGTATTTTAGTTATTCTCTAAATTTTGCAGCTGAACAAAGCCTATTTTTCAGATAAAATATTGTTTTTTATTCCGACTTCCTTTTTTATTTCATGGGAATATATTGTGGTAAATTAGCAGTTTTAGACCAGTTTCGCACTATGGATTCAAAAATGTAGAACTGCCAACTTTTCATATGCGGTTGTTACAAATTGTTGATTGTATATGTGATAGTTTGTGTTTGTTTCTTAAAATATGTAACTACACCATAACAACCTATGCTGTTCCCGTCAAATGAAGGTAACAAAGAGGTAATGTGTCAGAAGTCTTTTTGGAAATAGAGAATTTTTTTTCGAAAAATTGTACGTTTACTTAGAGAGTTAAATTAAGTGCCAAGCTTTCTTCCGCTTCAGCATTAATATACTGTTTCCTCAATTATTAGATATCTCAAGCCTTGCTTAGCTAACTATCGCTAGATGGGCTAATAAACAAGAGTTCTTCATCCACTCTACAGCTACTTCTGGAATCCTGTTGTCATACATCGGCTTTCATACATTATTCCACCAAATTTGCTAGTCACGAAGGTCCAAAAAGTCGTTGGCCCGATGTTGCTTTAAAGCACCACACTGATTCTGGATTGCTTATTTCTTGAGAACCCAAAGAAGGCATTAAGTTTACAAAAAAATATTTGAAAAAAATTAGTTCAAAGTGTTAGAAGCTATTCTGAATGGTCCAATTTGGTCTCTTAATGACTTTTAATTCCAGTTCCTTACTTCTAATGTATATGCTGCTCGTTACCGAGTATGAAGTGCCATAAACAAACCATGGAACACTTCATGCCATAAGAATGTTTACCAACGTTCGTTAAGCCACGTTTACTTAACTTTAGAAAGAAATAGCTAACGTCATGATGTAGTTACGATGTCAAGGCAGTTGCTGCTACAATTCCGACTAAAAGCAAAAATATAAATGAAAGTGCTGCTGAAAAGCAGCAAAACAGCAGCTATTTTTCCGCCACAAATATTTGCAAAAATTAACCAAAGGACCATAGATCGATCCTCTCATTCAAAGCATAGACCAAACGAACGAACAGACAGACGCGCAAACAATGACGTGATGTTGACCTGTGGCTGGTTGCAAGGGTGTTTTTGCTTGTTGTTTTTCTATTTCTGCGCTTGCAAAAACAGCAACTCACTTGCCAATTCCCTTGTTTATAGTACCGTTTTTAAAAGTCATTCCACTGTTTCGACGATGATCTATGATTTAGTTCATCAGTAGATTCTTAAGCCAATTTAACACCATAAATTTGTGATCGTGTTTATTCACTGGTATAGTATCAAGTTTGCAAATGTTGGGGTTGGTCACGTCGTTTGCGTTTAATACTCTGTATTACCCATCATCCTTGATCATCCGAACAGCATTATTTTTTATAACTCCGGCTGTTGTTAATATCGGTCTAAAATTAATCTACCGGATTGTTCGTGCTGTAGTCACAGTATTTGCAGCTGGCATTTCGCATTCCATCCAGAGGTATGTAAGCCATTATCAAAGGGAATTTTGTTCATTATTTTATGAAAAAAGGAGGGAAAGAAATGTTGGGTCGGTTTCCTGTTGGAGAAGATATATGAATTTTTATCCGTGTTAAATTTGACTACATCAACTCTGTGCCGGTGCGGTTTGACGCCATTCATCGCACAGCGATCGCTTGCTCAATTTTTTTTCTAAAGCTTATTTGTGTTTAGGTTTTACGTATGTCACTGTAGACTGAATTTTTCTGGTTCTGTTTTATCGAGTTTTTGGACATGATTACCATCGGATATTTACGACCACATTTAGGCGGATTACTGGTCGGAGCAGTCCTGGAGTGTAAAAAATGGTTCATCAACAATTACAGTGGGGGATTATGGGCTGCGGCTTCATCAGTGGTGACTTTGTTGAAGCAATGAAACTTTTGCCTGCAAA